GCGCTTCGTTTGTTTCCTAAACCCTAGGCCCTAAACCCTAAACCCTAATCATACAAAAAAGATTGGTTAAAATCTAAACCCTAGAAGGGAAGAAGCTGCGAACAGCAGCAAACCCTGTGGAGCACCTGGGGGCCCACTGGCTAGGGTTTAGAGCTGAGGGTTTAGGGCCTAGGGTTTAGGGTTTGCAGTTGGAGTTCTATTATCCACAGAAACTTTAAAATTATTGTTCTGTTATGAACTTTTACTTCCTAAACCCTAAACCCTAAACCCTTGGAGTGAAACGCGGCCGACAGCCTGCCGTGCCCTCAACAACGCGGCCTGCCAAACTCCGCTTCAGGGTTTAGGGTTTAGGGTTTGGGGTTTAGGGTTTAGGGTTTGGGGTTTAGGGTTTAGGCCCTACACCCGCTTCCTGCTGCTATGATGAGGGTTTCCACAGCCTTTCGCCTCATCTCTATGAGGGCCAGGTGCAGCAGCAGCAGCAGCAGCAGCTGCTGCTGCTGCTGCTGCTGCTCTCGTTATTATTTCGGCAGCTTTATTTGCAGCAGCAGCAGCAACAGAAGCAGCGGTGTAAGGATGTACTCGTATCTACCCCGCCGCAGCAGCAACAACAGCAGCAGCAGCAACACAAGCAGCAGCAGCAGCAGCAGCAGCAGCACAGTGTTCATCCGTGCGCTGCACAACGCTGCGCCTGAGGGGCCGAAACAAGCAGCGGAAGCAGCCGCAGGAGCAGCAGGAGAAGCAGCCCCAGCAGCAGCAGCAGCAGCAGAAGCAGCAGCAGCAGCAGCAGCAGCAGCAGCAGCAAAAATGCCCCTCAGGGGCTGGGCGCTGCTGGGCTGCAGCCTGGCACTTCTTGCTGGGGGTTTGGGCAGCGCCGTGTGGCTCTTTTTGGATTCTCCAGAACCCCTTAAAGTGGCGTGGGACGCAATTCAGTAGGGTTTAGGGTTTAGGGTTTAGGGTTTGGGGTCTAGGGTTTAGGGTTTGGGGTTTAGGGTTTGGATGGCCGGTGGGAAGGGCGGGGCGCCTTTGGAAACCCTCGGGGGCGGTTCTGAAGCGCAGTGGCAGACCCCCGTTTAGGGTTTGGGGGCCAGGTTTTAGGGTTTAGGGTTTAGGGTTTAGGGTTTAGGGTTTGCTGCAGGAAAGACCCTCGAGTAGTGGGCGCGCTGGGCGGAGAGGTAAAGAGGGGCTGGTGGTGGGGGGGTTTTGTTCACGAGAAAGATGCGCGGGTTAAATTGTCTCTTACAGGTAAACCCTAAACCCTAAACCCTAAACCCTAAACCCTAAACCCTAATGCCTCTCTGGCGAGGGGCCCGCGCACCGCGCTCCAGCCCCTTCGGTGGTGGCGCTGCTTGAAAGACCGGAAAGCTCCCGCACACTGTTCAGCACCGAGGGTTTAGGGTTTAGGGTTTAGGGTTTAGGGTTTAGGGTTTAGGGTTTAGGGTTTG